TTTTCTATCCATCAATTCTACAGTTTCAATGTAAAATAGAGGGAAATCAGTCAGAATTTTGTAACAAAAACTTTTTCTCATCATGTTGTTTTCCCCTTGGTTTTTTCATATCTCTCAGACGCGTAGCCAGAAGGGTCTTGTCCCCCTCTTAAGCGTTTTAGGCCGTGCTCTCACTGCGGTTCAAAACGTTTAAGGGGGGGGGGGGAATATCTCTACATCTTCAAAAATCCCAAAAAATCCTAAAAAAAAGTTCCTATTGAGTATTTTAATTCCGTTGTTCTTTTTAATTCAAACTTCATTATTCCAAAATTCCTTGTAGATTTTAAACAGCTTACGAAATTCCTTTCGAGATTTCATTGCCTATGTACAGAAAAAAGCTCAGTGCGGTCAATTTAAACATCAAGCGCCTTTCGCTTTATCTGCTGACACAAAGAGATTAATTTCTCTTTTTGTGTGTCCATCAAGCTGCGGTTTTGCTTGCTTTTAAGTTAATGAGAACGCAAAGTTTAATGCCAACAGAGAATATTTGGCTAGGTGTCGCAGCATCAAAATCAGTTGATTATAACTTTTTTCAAAATCAGATCGAAAATTGAAATGAATTTTCTGTGGTATTTGAAATGATTTGGCTTGAAAATCTCGATGCTCACGTGCCTTTTTTTGATAAAAAAATATAGAACACGATAAAAAAAAGTATTTTAGACACTAAAGGTGTATTTAATGTCATACTTTCATTCTATTAGCACGCTGTTATAAAATTTCTTTTTCCCCCCGCCATCATCACAACCCTCAAGTGTCTTACATAAGCTTCAGTACTACATGTTCATAAGTATATTGAGATAGATAAATACTTCCCATTTCGCGTTTCGCAATGCTGTAATTTTCTATACTTTTTTCTGCTCCTGAACATACACAATCTAGTAGGGAAAAGAAAAACTTTTCTGTCGTCGTTGTCATTTGCCACAAACATAGTGAATAAGTCTTTCGTATAGCTTCTTTTGACGCTGCTTATGATGTTTCATAATTTTTTTAGCTGAATTTTTCCTTGGGTTAGATGGCTGTGGATCATTTTGTGGTTTTGATTGTTGTGGTTTGGATTCCTTAAAGGATTTTTAAGTCATGATAGACTGGGATTTGGATTTTAATTTTATAATTAGTAAAGAATTGTTTGGAACTTAAGATTTAATCCTAGTCTCTAAAGAACTCTTGATACGCTTTTGGAATTGAGTTTTTTGATCCCTATTAAGGATGGATATATCTAGTGTTACGAGTCTAGAATACCTTTTTGATCTTAGTTTAGACCCTCTGATCCATTAGTTTAGCACTGAAGAGCTCAAACGCTGATAAAGCATCCACACGTCTCTAAGAGGTTGAACCATTAGAGTGGCGACTTTATTGAAAAACTTGGTGGGTTTCGAACTTTATTGACTTGTGAAAAGAAGCGTATAGTTCCAAATAAAGATGATTTCACGCTTGCCACCATCAACACTAGCACCATCACTAGTTATCTTCACTATTATGTAGGGTACCCTACTATTATGTCACAATTGGCTTCTTATTTCCATCTTTAGCATTTTTTGTCTTTATCTTCTAAAACCCCAAAAATGCGCCACAGAATATATTCAATCGCCTATCCCAACTCATTCATTTTGTGTGAAAATGAAGTATATTGCTGTATACGTGAAAAAACACAATGCTGGAACTTTTTTTAAAAAAAAAATTGTCGTTCTTCTTTTTATACACACAGAATCTGATATGTAATTTAACTAAATTGTTTTTATTATGCTTTTGAGATATTTTCCACCAATTTACATTTCGTGTGGCTTTTTCCCTCACTTTCATTCAGCTCGTTTTATGTCAGGGATCAATTTTCCTCTCTCTCGCTTTGTCTTCGTTTTGTTCGTGCTTAAATGCGGAGACAGAAGAGAAGAAGAAAAACTTGTGCGATTCAAAAAAAAAAAATTGCTGACAACAAAAATTGAGGAAGTTAAAATAATAACATGGAAGAGAAGAACAAAAAATTGTTGGAAGCCTCTGGTGATGTACTTTATTCCGCATTTCAATTCATTCACAAAATTGTGCGGTTTTTTGAAAGTTTTTCATACCAAAAATTAATGTCGAATGAAAATGAATTTATTTTTTGGTGGATCTATATCATTTTGAAGGTTTTTTTGGCTGGGTGGAGACACTCCAATGTTTGTTGTAGACTATGATGGATAGAACATAAGAAGTGCATCAGAATTGAATGAAGAATCTCGTTGGAGTTATGATTTGAAGCTCTAAAGCGCGTAGTTTACCTTGATGCGAAATCTGGCTAAAGTAGACATGAGGGGGAGGGTCTAGTAAGTCCTCTCTCTGAGTTGCCTAGGAACCAAAAAGAATAATACCCAAAAATTCAAACCCAGCCCCATCAGAGTGTCAACACATCAAAACTTAGATTACTTCTTACCCAAAAATTGTGATTCTTCTTCCAAAATGTTGTTCATTGTGACTTACATTCTCATCATTCACTAATACAACTTTTTGCCATTCGCGTGTTGACGTAAATGCTTTCATTAGTCGCATATGAGGTTTTCTTAAGTGCTCTAAATCTTGATAAAGTTTAACAACATCAGCATTTTTTGAAGACTTTTTCTTCATTTACACTGAAGGAAATAACTTGTGTAGGATGCAGGGGATGGATGGCCATGAATGTAGCTTTAAATAATTTCTCTCAGTGCCAGGACAAAAATCATTACAATCCCTCTATATCTCTCATTCTCTCGTGCTCTGTTCTTATGTGTTGATAAGTGGCATAAGCCAAGATATTATTCATGTTGTTGTTGTCGTCGGTTTATGTCTCTTTAATTCAATTTGTCAGTCATTCTTTACTAACGTGGTAGCTGAATTTTAAAGATTTTTATGACTTGTGGGAATTAAAAGTGAAACATTGAATGAGATTTTGTTTGAAGGATATGAATGTATAAAGTCATGGGATTATGGGACGAATATTTTCGGGTATGTGACATTTATTTTCTCTAAAATGTCAAGTTTTGATAAAAACTTAGGATCAATGTCATGTCACCAAACTCCATTAAAATCATATTTATCCAGTCATTCTACTCTTAATGTAATTGATTTAAAATCAAAGCAGTATCAAATTCAGCTATCACGTTGAAACCTTCATTTTAAATTCAATTACTTTAGTATAAATTATACAGCAGTTTAAATCAACAACTGTATACTGCATCAATTAGCAGTAACATGAAACTTTTTGACCTGATTTTATTCAAGGTTCTGTTTTCTCTTAATTTTTTTTACGTAACTTCTTTTATTTCCATTCTGTTCTCTGGTTTTCTATTTTATTGATTTTTTTCCTGTGGATTTCTGCATTCAATTGAAGATTGCAGATGTTTTGAGAATTTATGTCGAATTTAAGTTCACTATCTTTTATGTATGAAATTTTTAAAAGTCTTTTAACCGTCTTTGGGGGTATTCACTTATGATGTCTTTTATTCGCGCCTTTTTTAGAGCAGGGTGCTTAATCTGAGTCAAGAATGAAACATTTGGTGTGATGTTTTGTTAGAAATAGGGTAGACTAATGACAGTTTCTTGAGATTGTTCTGTTGAATTTGTCATTAGTTGACCCTACTTTTAGAGATCAATTATATATCATGTCTGGTGCTCCACTCAGGAGTTCAGTTGGCAGAGATAATTTGTCTCGCATTTTTCATTTCTCAATTCTCAAGGTAATCGTCAAAGCACTGCCGTTTCATTGCTACAGAGACATTAAAGTGCACTGACGATGCTTAAAAGGCTCTCAGACAGCAGAAGTAAAACAAATTTTTACCAGTCGATACTTTGGCAAATCAAATTAGTCACTTTTGCTATGATTTTGAGGCTACACCTTCTCTCATTCTCTAGACAAAGTCTAGTCTTTTTTTGAATTCTAAGATGAATGGTTCATATATTCTTTCCAAAAAAACGTCATTTGTGACTCACCCCCTGCTTATCACTTGATTATCAAAAACTTCATTTAAGTTTTAGTATCGACCAAAAATGATTATGAATTTTTTTTAGATTCTCGGCATTCCTTCTGAAACAATCAAAGCATAAAATGTAATTTCCTCATAAAATTGACACAAACGAGTCTTAAGATGACATTAAAACTTCCAATAGAAAAGTCCAACTTAATACTTTAACTGTTTCAGAATCTCCTTATTTAATTCCTTTTTAATCTTTAGTCTACATTCATCTACAATATTTTTTTTCATTCATTAAATTAATTCCTATTCTTTAATTTATTTTATTTAAAAAAAGTCATATTCTATCCTAAAGTTTTTACTTACTTTTAGTGTTGTTGAATTCTTCATTATATTTACACATTGTGCAGAGTTTGATTATTTTTTTGTTTTTCGAATTTATTCTGGAAAAGTCTTTCAATCTTTATACAAAATGAAATTTTTAGTTGAATTGATGATATTTGACAATGTTTTGGAATTGGATTGAATTTAATTGTGTGATATTTATGTCATGTGGTCTAAATTGTTTGGATTGCTTAATTGTGGAGAGTGAAATTTGATTTTAGAGAAATTTGTCCTCAATTTATAGAATTTGCTTTAATTTTGCTAGGTTTGTCACAATTTGACATTCATCGAAGCCTATTTATGTCCATTTTAACGACAGCATTAAAAAGTACCCTCATAAATATCAAAATTAGGTTACCAGATGACAAATACATTTTATTATGTCCATCATTGCGATGACAACTGATTTATTCAAATATTTATCACGACCACAGATACTCGCGATGTTGAAAGGCTCGATGGGAATCATCACCAATTAGGTTCAACATCAGATTGAAGGAGGGGTGTGATTGACTATTCTTTAAAATATCATTTATTGAGCTTGACCTGTGAGGAGGGGAAGGTGGTTGAATCTGTGAGGAGGGAGAGGTGTGGTTCAGATTGACATAATTTGCAATCCACCCCCCGCATGATAATTAAATTAAGTGGATCAGTCATCAACACATTGCCATTATCATCAATTCAATCATTTATTATTGTTGCTGAATTTATGTCTGTTGTCTTGTCACAATTAGAAAATATTTTTCTTTTTATATAATTTTGTCTTTGTTTTTATCGTTCTGAATAATTAATTAGCTAAATACAACTATTTAACATTATATAATGTCCATGTCGCCATCGTATGCTGCGACGATAAATGTAACATAATAATGTTATTGATAAAAGCAACAATCGATTATAGCCTAATGATAATGTTGATGCTATGCCATGATGCATTGCAGCGGGATGTTCTCCTGAAACAAAACGAGAGTAGTTCACTAGTAATAAAAGTCAAAAGATTCATTATGTGATAAATATCTTTCATCCATTAATGCTCAATTCAGTCATTTACAATCTTTTTTTTAGGGCGCCCCTATTAAAAGACTAAAAGGGGATGCTGGAAGTTAGTTCAGGTCAGATTTTGTAAGGCAATAGCGCATTTTAAAGATAAAGAAATTGCTTATGTTTGGCTGTAAGATTAAAGTGATTTACTTCCGAAATTACTTGGCATACATCACGACTAACTCAAAATCCTTCAATTTAACTTAAAAAATCCTTCCTTAAAGGATATAAAAACTTTTCTTTTCCGATGACTAAGTTGAGATATGCCAAAACATTAATGTCCATTCTCGTACCATTCTTTTCAATCTTCTTTTGCTTCATGAAATGGGAAAAGAAGAAGAATAATGATAAGAAGATAAGGAAGAATAAATTTAGCAATAATATCCACCCAATCCATTTTTTGGATGAATGACTTCTCGTACATTCTTTCGGAGATTGTTAAATTTATAATATTTTTTTTTTCATGTATGAATCGAGGAAATACATGGAAGTATGTTGGCATTGCAGAGGGGCGGAAGAAGTTTATTTTAGTTGCTTGGACTAAAATGCTTCCGGTTAGAGGCGTTATTAAGATGATATGAATATTTGGAGTAGCTGAACCTTACAGATAGCTCCGATGCAGCAATAATGATTGCTCAATTTCAGAAATGATCAATTTCTGGTAGGAATTGAACCCAAATCCTCACAAAACAGGGTTGCTTAAGAATTCGATTACAGACCGTCTTACAGATTTGTCTATATTTGGATGATTGCTGAGAATCATCCCTATGCTTAATTCTAAGCCAAACAAGTTGCTCGAAACTGGTGATAGTTTCTAGTAGAGAGAAGAGCTTAATTTGTAACATCCCAATTCTAAAACTTTGTCATTTCCTCATCCCTTAAAACCCCTCCTTAAACGTCAATCCCCTACATTCTCATCTGTTCCACACACATACTCACGCACATCTAACAGCATTATCATGATAAATAATTTTTAGTACGTCGCTCTTACCATTTAGTATATGAACTCTAATGGATGCTGGATTGGCATTACTGGGTAGGCATTGATACAAGCCTAATGTCGTTGTCATTATCATCATCAACAATTGAGTAAGAGTGAATTTCCGTCCATCGAAAGATTAAAGTTGGCAACAGTAGAACAAAAAGAAAAAAAAATATTTTTTTTTTATTATTTCAATTTTAATTTTCAAGGTACTTCATAAATTATAATGATATTGCTAACACGCTTATTACAATTCTCATTGTGCTTAATAAATTTTTTATGTGAAAATTATGAGGCTAAAAGAAAGGAGAGTATGGTAATAAAAAATTTCTTTTCCCTTTTTTCCTCTTTCTCGGTATTGTATAATTAAAGATATAAATTATGAGCGTGAAGCTGATGATATGATATAAAATGCAATAGAATACGACACACATACCCGAATCACTTGGAATGGCCTTTTGTACTAGAAGTCGACTAGTGGTGAGAACGCCTTTCTCTGTTACCAGCGAGATGCCACCACGTGGTGAATCAAAATTAATTGTCTAGAAGAAAAGGACGTAATGAGATAAAAGAGAAATTAAAAATAATTGTAGATTAAATTGAATTTGCAGTTCTGTTCGAGAAGATTTAATTGTGACATGGCAAAAAAGGGAAGCTTGAGAATTTATGAACGAAGAGTTTTATGGACTTTTGGTGAAAAATATTCATTTAATGAAGCAGTTGATATCCTTCATCATTTAACTAACCTAATAACAGTCTAAATTGAGTTATTCTGTCAGTGATGAGAAAATAAGTTTGAACTCAGTTGAGTACTTTTGGAAGTGCGAATGAGGAACTCTATTAAATGATGAAATTTTCTGAATTAATGGAGCGTGAACGTTGGTGATACTACAAGAAATTACTTTAATATTGAAGGAGTTTCATGAAGTTTTGTGCTATATAAGTTAATATAAGCATTCTTTGTGACATTCAGAAGACAGAACAGGAAATCCAGTTCAGGAACTATAACAATCAGGAAAAGAGTAACTATCATACGCATTCAAACTTTGTCGAAATTTTCAAAGTCCTTCCTGACGATTGTAGCTTAATTGAAGCAATTTCTACATCAACACGCAATAAAACACTCAAAAAGTTATAACATCACGCAAGGTATAAGGTTTCATATCGAAACTATGTTTGTGTATATTTTAGGGTGAAAATATGGTTTTTGAAGGAACTCGAAGTCGATGATATTTTGCGTAGAGTCGAGTCGACTCCTCCATCCTAAATTTATCAAAATCTCATATCGACTTCGAGCTATTCACTTGATCATTTCCAAACCCTTGAATAATATAAAAATGTCAACTTACTTCTCTATTGTGACTCCATGTCATCGATGGTGGTGCTTCTGGTGCGAATCGAACCTAAGTTGAATTTTGTAAATATGAAAATTAATTAAAATTTTAGTTTAAATAAATTTTTAAGTTTTTTTCTTACGACACATGTGAGATTTATTGTTGATCCTTTATTTATAAACAGATCAGCTCCTCCAATAATTTCTGTTACTGGTTCTGTAAGTAAAAAATCGTAAATTAATCAATATTGCAGCTTTATAAGAATGTGAAGGATTTTAGAATTAGGCAAGCTTTGTCAAGAGTGTGGAACTGAAGAATTACATTTTGATCATTTTTGATCAATTTTGATCATTTTTTATCATTTTATCTGTACCACAACCTTGTTTTTTGTAGCACTTTTTGTAGATGTTATCTCAATTGTTGGACTTTTAAGGTTTCTTTTGAAAACTATTGAATGTTCAAAATTGCATTTCATTCACCTAGTTTCAACCACATAAGTTAAAAAAAAAAAACATTTTCTTCAAGTTTTGGCAAGCATAAAACTAGTTTTCGGGAAGAAAGGAAAGATTTATTGATTCAAGATACTTCGCCATGTTTCTTTTATAATTTATATATTTTTTTAAACATAAAACAATAAGACAATAAAATTAAGAGGAGCCACTTTTTCCTCTTCAAAATGAAATATTTACGTTTTCCTGTGAAAATTAACTTTTCGTCTATTTTGCGTCTCAAGTGCCAGTGGTAATTGAAGCTTTATTAAAGGATATCTTGTGGAAATTGGGGTTATTTTATCGTCATTTCCATTATTTGATATCATTATCTAAATCATCGTCCTTTTGTTTCATTCTTTCTTAAGTACTTTTATAGCATTATTTGAGCAACTGAATTAGCACAAGTTTTCTTTGCGTCCTTCTTGGAACTTTCGCTTTATTGTTTGTTGACGACTCTTTGAGGGCATTCTTAGGAAACCATTTTGTTTTGTGTTGGGATTATTAAGTTGTGTTTTAATTTTATGGCAGTTGATATTTTAATTTTCCAGGAGTTGCAACAAAAAATAAATTTTGAAGAATTTTACAGATTAAATTTAATGCAACTAGCGATGTGGAATTGATCAATAGTTGATCATCTTGATCGAAGCAGCGACTAGCTTTAGATTTTCATTTAAGCATCATTTATAAAACATCATCCACTGCCTATCCGACAACAATATCTCAAACTCAATTGTGATTCAGTCGTAACAAATGCCAACATCTACTCAGCATACGACATATGCAAAACATAGTTCAAGCATGAAATTTCAATTTCAATTTAAATGACAAACAAAAATACCAGAAATATCCATTTTAAAATTTTTATGACAAAACAGAACTTCCGATTTTCCAATAAAAAACTCAGAATTCATCCATAAATATCATTTGGCAATGCTCAGAAAATTTTGTAATAAATATCATTGCATGATCAAAATAACAGCGAAAAACAAACTTTTCGCATAAACATGAGCAACTTTTTAATTACATCTCTTCTGCTCATCTCAAGTTCTACAAATAAATATCAATAGAGACTGAAAGATGCATTAAACAACGACCTTGCTCGTCATTTTGTATTCTCAACTTTCTCATTCATTTGTTTACATTTTCTGTGATGCTTTTGAAATGCTGATGACAATTTTAGAGTTGGATAAAAATGCATTAAGTTATGTTTGACAAAGGACATTAAATTCTTGATCCTTGGCAAAATTGTAAATAAGATGTTTTTTTTGAGTAAGTAGGTTGACGAGGGTGGAGGTTTTTTGGTATATTTTATGTGAAATTTGAATTGATTATTTCAATATTAATCCTTTAGATTATTTAAGTTTTGATGCTTGATTTCGTTGAACCATAAAGTTCAGGTAAGTGAGATAAAGTCTAAAGTTAGCGACCAAAAAACTAGCAATTTCGCTAGAATTTTAAAATTACTTTTTCGGATCATAATTCTCACTTAAATCATGCACATTCTTTCTCCATAAATCACAAAAGCACTCAATCCATGTCGCTTAACATTTTTCTAGTAACTCACAAATGATGACAGACATTAAAATTATTATTTTTTTTGTGCTCTACGAAAATTTATTGCTGTTCGGCTGGATGACATTCATTTGTTTGTTTCGCTTTTTATTATTCGACATGCCAAAAAAAGGCAAGATTGCTTCACGTTTTCATTAAAATTATGATTTTTTCGTGTACTCCTTTCTCTTTATTAGCATTAAAAGATCATGTATTGTACATAAAATATATCTCTAGATGCAGTAAAAGAGAGTTTTGGGAATATTTTTTCTTATTATTTTAATATTTTTGCTGTCTTGTTATGCACGAGGAAAATAAAAAGTTGTCAAATGGAAAATATTACTGTTGTTCTCATCATTTCAAGTTGCTCAAGAGTGAATGAAGAAAATGGAAAAAATTAAAGAAAGAAAATTTTTTCAACCATAAATGTGATGAAAAGAGGAATTTTTTGCACTTGTTTCATTTTTAAGTGCTAAATGGGATTTTTTATTGTAGCATTCTGTGCTGATTGTTTAGTTTTGTCCAGGGGTGCTGTTATGGATGGAAGTTTGAGGAACTATCGTATCAAAAAGAAATAAAAATTTGATCTCTTCTCCAACCTAGCTACATCACTCGGTTTTAATAATGACTTTCAATATTTTTGTTAAAGGTTATGTTGCAACTGATTTTTGGGCGTTTTCTAGAACTCCTTTACATAGGTGGAAACTAAAGATTAATCCTGAAAAATCTCAAAAATCCTTGGGCCAATAATATAAAAACGTAAAATCATTTTTAAATCCCGAAATTATTCATCAAATGCATCGAAGATTAAAAATGGGATATTTCAGGATTAATCCTGAGTTTCCATGCCTTGCCTAAAATTGATGCAGTATACTAAAGAACAAAATATAACTGTGTTTAGCGTAGCTAGGTTGCCTTTGAAACTGACTTGTAGAAATTAGTATTCTAGAGATCACATAGATCACCTAGTCACACGGTTTTGGATACATTATTGCAATTAGTATCGAACTTAGCCAATGAGAGGAGTTAGAGTTTTTACAATAAATCTTTCTGAAGACAGGCTTACCGTTGTGTTTCTATGTTAGACAAAAGTCAACATAATATTTTAATCGGCAACTTTAAATGCTTCTTTATGGAAACATGTAGAAAGTGCCATTCAGAATGCAGCAGCAAGCCATGTAATATCTTACTTCTAGCAGACTATTAAGGACTTAACAACATAACCTAACCAAGATTCTACTCAGATTAATAAGAAGCATATCCGACTCCATTTCATCTATTCAAAAATCTTCCTTATAAACAAATCATTGACAAAATGTATGCAATATTTAAGAACAAATAGTTCCATGCCAAACAAAAGCCCATTTGACCTTAAAATGCGCTCATTCATCTCCTCTTCCATGAATAAATATCCACTTTTCTCATTCAGACAATAGAAAAAAATAACGAGTGGAAAAATAGCTGCTTGCAAATTCTTTTATTCTTTGTTATATTCTCCACACAAATTGCCATTTTTCTACCCCTTTTCTCCTCCATTCTGTACATATTTTATTTTTTCAAATATTGAAACAAATGAAAACAATTCATTGTCGTCCAACAAAGAAGCAGAAAAAAAAGCACTTTTGCATATTATTGTACTCATAAATATTTGCATTTTGGCTCGAGTCTCCGACCACATTCATGAAAATTCTTTTAATTTATTTAATTTTTTTCTTCTCCTTTCTTCATGCTTTTGAGGCACAAGCTTATGCCTAGCCATATGAGAAGCTATTTTTAAAAAAAAAGTCGGACAAGAAATCCTCTTTGGTTAGTGATTTATGTTCCGTTGATTTTGTAATGTTGCCATTGAAAGCTTGTTTATGGAGACTGCAAATATGAATTGTGTACATAAACAAGGGAAAAATTGGATAATGGCATTTTCAAATGAAAATAGAATGAACACATTCGACAAATACATTATTTATGTTTGACAACAGATGATAGTGATGGAAATGAACAAATAATCATTTCATATTAATGCATTTTACATCATTATAATGACAAAGTTTAGCAAATATTGAATTAAATTTTGTTTGAGTTGGAAATCTCATTTGAATTTAATTTGATGAGAATGCAATGGAATTGCAATTAATTAGTTTTTACATCCTTTCACGGAATTTTTTATTGACCTTAAAGCCACATTTTAAATCTGCAGTTGAATTGTTTGATGAATTCAGAGATAAACCAATTGAGAATCGAACCTTAGACTTCACAAAAATTGACAATGTAGCCTAATTTTTCAGGATAGTGACTATAATCTGTAAATGGCAATTGAAGAATGGCATATTCATCTACATATGGCTCGATATTTCATGCTTCAATAGATTAATTCATCTACAGTTTATTTGAATCGCAAAATCGCTATCAGAAGTATCTACCTTAATGACAGTCAAACCTTACTTGCATAGCGATTTTGGATTTTATGTTATCCATTATAACATAACCGATCAGAGACTTCACACTTCGTCCAACTAGTTTTTAACCCCCCCCCCCCCCCCCCCCCCCCCGTCGATATCAATCCCACTCTTCTGTTCTCCTCCAACCTTTGCTGTTCGTCAAAGAACGAACAAAACTATTTGCTACTTCAATAAATACCAAAAATACCAAAACTTTATACTCAATAGCATTAAATAACCGACATCAAAAATAAAATCAATACAAATAAATTAAATCTCCAATAAACCCTCAAACTCATCAATTTGTTGAACATTACCAAAAGTAATTTTAAACCCCCTGATCCACAAAATATTCCAGTCACGACTCATTATCGATTAAAAGTCTTTTTTGTCGACTTCAATGTAAACACAAATTTATTCATTAAGGAATTCGGCATTTAAATAAATAATGAATCATTTGTGAGTCAAAGGAACTAAAATAATAATATTAGATGAGCTGTGTACTATTTACTTTCATTATTAATAATTAAGGACATTTGTTTGTTACATAATGTACACAATGAACCTTTTTTTTGTAGCTTGCGACGCCTTAATTTAAGGCATAATTAAGAAAGTTTGTATTTATGCTGATTCGATGGGATTTGTTGCTCGAAATTCTTAGAAATATTAAGTCTATAGACTTCAATCTAAAATTCAACTAAATATTTCATTAGACACTGAATCAAGAAAAGGAAGTAAGGAATGAAAAAATCAAACGGAAATGCCCCGCTCGAAATTTAATTAAGCAAGCGGTCTTGTTTCTATAATTAATTTCCAAAGAACCGTCTTCCTTCTTCCTTTAGTCAGCATGAACAGAATTTTTTTCCCATCGTCTTTAATTTCCTCATGGGCTTTATCAGTCTACGTACATCGTACATAATTTATTTACTTGATAACATAAATCTTCATACTAAATGTATATCCAAACAATTTTTTTCTGCTTTTGCTTTACGGTCTCTAACGGTACAATGCATAAAAAATTTACAAACGGAATGCAAGATAAAAGGTTGAAAGTTTTTCACTTACTTTTTTTCCATTTCCATTTTTATGCTTTTTATCATATAATCATGAGATTTTCATCAACAGGAATTTATTTGCTTAGTGAATGAAAATTTTTTTTTGTTGGGCATTTTGAGAAAATAGTTTTAATTTGTCTGGGGAATCTAGTGGCAGAGATCGATTGAGAAGTAAGAGTTTTGAGTATTTTTGCTGGATATTATTATTAGCTTGGTATGGCCAGCTAGAATCAGAGCTTAAGGCGAGGCAGAATTAGGGTCATGAGAGGTTTTGATCCCCCGAGTACTACCTCAGGATCATTGATAGATATTGCTTAGTCTGATGTAGAATTACATTATTTGACTCAAAATCTGAAAAAACGTGTGAGTTTATAGGGGCCGTTCACTTATTACGTTCACATTTTAGGTGGGAGGGGGGGTTTGAAAAATTGTAACAAAATGTAACAAAGAGGGGGGGGGCCTGTCAAGAAGAATGTAACGTTCTAACTGTCGTCTGTCTTTTAAAAAAAAGTTCACGAAAAAAATTTGAATTATAAACGTTAACGGGGGGGGGGGGGTTGTGAGTTGTAACATGTTGTAACAAGGGGGGGGGGGGTGAAAAAAGTCGGTTTTTTGCGTAAGGTAATAAGTGAACGGCCCCATGGCAAGTCTATAGTAATCACAAAGTCATTCATTTAATTAATTAATATTAAACCTGCCCTACATTTTCCTTGCAACACTCTTAGCCAGTAATCACAGGTGCAGAACTAAGGTTGGGCAGAATCGTATTCGAATATATTCGAATATAATGTGCGCACATAAATGTGCGCATATATTCGAATATATATTCGAATATTCATAATTCAAAAAATAACCGTTATTAATCGTGATTTTTTTTTAATAAATGTTTAACAATTAATGAAATAACTTACAACTAAAATATCGACGTATTTGGCTAAAGAAAGTACTTCCATTGCTTTTCCATTAAAATTAGATCTATTTTAGTAATTGTTTAACATGATTTTTTCAATTGAAAAAATTTGATATCAAAGAATATTTGAAGTCGCCTTTTAAAAAATTTTAACGGTCAATTAATATTTGAAAATTTTCCCGCTAAAAGTCACACTACGAAAACATTAGTTATAGTATAATTACATAATTTGTTCCAATGAATTTCCATATAGAAAAAGTTTTTCATTTAACGGTCTTTTGAGATTCAAATTTTCTAACAGTCAGTAAGTTTTTGAAAGCTTTTCGCCAAAGGATACACAAAAAATCATTAATTATAGCATATTTAACAATTTAATATCTTTAATTCTCATATATGAATTGTTTATCATTTACAAATTACAGGCAAGTTGAAAAATGCTAATCAACAAATAACGTATTTTTTCATTTTTGAATTTCTAATATTCGAATATATATTCGAATATATTCGAATATTTTTTTGTTCATATTCGAATATATTCGAATATATTCGAATATTTGCTTAACCCTATGCAGAACTGATCAAAATGATCAAAAATGATCAAAATCAAATTTTTCAGTTTTGCACCATTGCTAGTAATGAACACCTCAAGTCATCAACAGCTTCGGTCCCACATGATAAGAAAATGCGCTCTAAGCTTCTCTAAACCAAAAAGGCACACTCTACTCTTCATTTCCCTTCTTCTTCTACAATTTTATTTATTTCCAGAGTCAGTACACTAGTTTTCAATTAAATATTCAAATAAAAGCGTACATTAAAAAGAAATTAATGTTATAGAATCACGGAAACACCTTTTCATCCCACTTGATTGTTTTTGTAAAGTTAAAAACTTGTTTTTTTTTTATCAAAACTTGCATTGTTCTAGGATCTCTCATCCATGTCTGAATTGTTTTAAAAACATTTTTTTTATTCTCATTGAAAAAGCAACAAAAATATATTTTTGTACATAATTTATAAGTGCTTGCTTAGAGGGAGAACTAGGTGGAAATTTTTTGTTGATGGAAAATATTTTAAATACATGCTTTTTTTTCTGCTTGTGCAATTCATTAAGTTTTGATGTAGTTAAAGTGCAAAATTATTTAGAAATTGAAATTTACTTACCGACAACAGTCAAGTATACAAAATGTCCAACAGGAGGGGTTGTTGAAATTTGGCACTCGTAGATACCTGATGAAAAAATGAAATATTAGTTCAGATGCTTTCAGAACATATTTTGCTTGTGTAGTTAATCGAAAGAATTTAATTTAAAACATCTTTTTCACGGGATGATACAAATAAGGCCTTCTTGGTAAGAGGGGGGGGGGGGGGGGGTGAAGATACATTTAAGAATTTTTTTAAAATTTTTCTCAATCGAAGTCATTGACAATTTAAGAAAGTATATAGTTGAACAGAAAACCCCTCTAGACAGTGCTGGCTTAAGTCCTGAACGTCAAATATCAACTTACACGAACTTTACCTCCCTTTACCTTCAAACTATTTAATAGAATTCACAATAACAATTAAAATCAACTCACCAGAATCCTTTCGTTGAGCGTATCGTATCCTCAAAGTCCATTCTTCTGTGTGTGGTGAGTGCATAGCCTCAAAGCGTTGATCGCTTGTATATGTATATCGTCCTACAGTTAACAGATGAATATCTCTATGACGCACCCAACTCACCTAATGAATAAAAGGATTTGATTAGAGTAATCAAGAATTGTCATGCAATTAAAATGATTTTGATTTATGGCTTGGATATGAAAAGCGGGACTAGTTGATGAAGCAGTCATCCAATTAGCTTTTTGAAATCATTCATTAGTTTTGATTAAAGTGACTAAACGTTAATGGTTATGGAAATTTTATTGCCGATAGAAAACGTAACAGAATCGCAATTAGAATGTGGAACAATTGAGATTGGTTAATTAAACTACTTACAAAGGCTTTTGATTAGTGTCACAAGCATTGATTGTTAAATTTATGATTATAAGTAAATTGTTCCTTTGATCTAAACTTTTCTGTAAAGCATTGCATACACTATATTAAATCCAAGTGAATGAAACGTCTAAGTCATAAAAAGTTTCATAAAGTCTGAGATTTGACGTAGTTCTGTGTGCTTCAATAACTCTCAACCTTTATTCTCTTCAATCAGAATTATTACCAGATTAAGTTTAAATTCTTCTTCCCTCTTCAGCTATGAATACTGTAAAGAACGTTCGTTTTATGTTGGAACAAGAAATATGACAGAAGCGAGGATGCAGAAAAAAAAGGAGAGGAATTTCAAAATGATGACAATGACGACATGTATGAAAATGTGGAATTAAAATTCTAATGTGACAACAATGGATTCACATACATTGTTGAAGGAAGTGAATTTATTTATTGTACGAGTAAGATTTAAATTTAAATTTACATTCATGTCTATTATGTGTATGCACATGATCCCTTGGGGATGTGAAGTTTAGAATGAAAGGTGTAAGAATTTTTTTTTATCGTTGTCTTGGGAGTAAAGCAGGCTTTAAAGTGGAAATGAAAGAAAATCACGGCAACAACAGAAAAGTATTAAAGTACATTTAAATTCGAAACAACTTTTGGAAAGCTACAAAAATCCACAATAAATCCACCCAAGGGATCCACTAAAATCAACATCAATAAGAACACATATTCAAAAAAATGCAAAATGGTTGAAGTTAAAAAGTAAAGTAAATTATGTGTGTGGGGAAGTAAATTGTCAACATTGTGTATGTACACATATATTTGTGGCTTTTTCTACAACGAGAGATAAGCAAATAAAGACGGGAGCAACAAAAAAGAAGTGCCAACAAAAAATAAAACGGGAGTGAAAGAGAAAATTTTGTGTATGTGTGTCTATTTGCGTATGAGGCAAGATATTCCATCATGAGCATCTCGTTCGTTTTTATGTAGAAGGTTGTAGTTGTCAAAAGCAGATTATTGTCACCAAAGTATGTAAATTGTATTGTACAATCTATGATCAGGGTTGGGATTGGTGTGCAGAAAAAAATAATTTGGAACCCTTTTTGATGACGGGAGAATTTGAGGATAAATTATGTACATTTGGGATAACAAAGCTTCTTTGCTCATCCTTGTTTGGTTTTAGGAATGTTCATGAGATTTTTAACAGTCGTGGGAATATTTTGTATATTTTAAGCAACTCACAAAAAGTGACATTCTTGGCATCCAAATTAATAGTTCGAAATTAGGAATGTCAAATTAGGATAGTGTGAATTTTTGTCAAATCGACTACAGTTAATTAAATGATTGATCGATCGACTTTTGGTGGGATTTGAACTACATCCTCATGAATAATAATACAGATATACGGTATGTTCTCTAACCACCTGCGCCAGAGAGGTTTTATATTCACACTAGTAGATTTGCAAACATAAGGCTCGAACACCAGCTACTCATATTTAAGAATCATTCTTTACTCAACCAATGATTCAGAACTAATCATCTGATGTCAATCATATTTGATGCATTTTTGCTCCCAACCCTGCTCACAGCCTCCTTTAATGCACTCATGAATTTAGTACAATATTTGCAATAAGCCACCTAAACATGAAGAGAATCAGCTCTCGACTAGAAACATTCCTACGGCAATCACATAATAATATTATGAGCAATAAGAAACAGAGTCAGAGAAAAAAAAAACAAGAGAATGAATTCATGATGCCATATTATGAATGTCTAATGAAATTTTTCATTTTTGGAGACAAAAATACATGAAAATATGTATGTTGTATATTCACTTCCTACCCTTTCTATGTGTATATTTATATATTTTTTTTCGAGTGTATCATTATGCTTATTGTTGATGCTGTTAACAATATACATCGATGTTGCTGCTTTTTTTTGGGTAAATTATGGAAGAAGAAAATTTATTTTTTTACTGAATGCATACAAATTGTGCTTTGTTGTTCAAAGCGTGGGGGTAAAAGGATGGGGGAGCCATAATGACAGCAGCAACAGCACTCGACGAGAAACACGAAGGGAGACCAGCATTGCTTTTTCTTCTCTTGTGTCACAAAAATGAAAGTCATTGAATTCGTTCAAGTATAATGAGAATTTCTTCTTGCTTTTCAGACGACAATTGCAGTGATTTTCTTAGCGTTTTTTGTCAAAGTATCCCACGTAGCTTAAATATGTCGAAATGTCAAACGTTTTCTTTCTTGTCATGTTGAAGATTGCAAGCATTTTATTTGGAAAATTGAGTCTCTTAATACCATTATTTTGATAGACTGTTGGCTTGATTTATTACGTGCTGGATATAATACTTAATAGACAAGCGATGAACTCCGTAGTAAATGCGTTGCAAACACTCAAACTCCCCGAACATACAAAGAGCATGCTCAGAAAAGTGAGCATATAAGTGAGTCTACTCAAAAAATGTACTCATCCAAGCTCATTCAACTGAGCATGCTCAAGAGAATATTATGAATGTGCTCACTTAAATTTTTTACAACAACTTTATAAGCTCACGTGAGTGCATTCAATAAGTATACTCTTGAGAATATTAAGAACATACTCATGTGAATTCACTCATATGAGTGCACTTACTGAATGTACTCATGAGCATATAATGAGCAAGCTCACTGCTGTGTCACACAATTTTTTTTATATTCTCATATGAGTGCACTTACTGAATGTACTCATGAGCATATAATGAGCAAGCTCACTTCTGTGTCACACAATTTTTTATATATTCTCATATGAGTGCACTTACTGAATGTACTCATGAGCATATAATGAGCAAGCTCACTGCTGTGTCACACAATTTTTTTTTATATTCTCATATGAGTGCACTTACTGAATGTACTCATGAGCATATAATGAGCAAGCTCACTTCTGTGTCACACAATTTTTTTTATATTCTCATATGAGTGCACTTACTGAATGTACTCATGAGCATATAATGAGCAAGCTCACTTCTGTGTCACACAATTTTTTATATATTCTCATATGAGTGCACTTACTGAATGTACTCATGAGCATATAATGAGCAAGCTCACTGCTGTGTCACACAATTTTTTTTTATATTCTCATATGAGTGCACTTACTGAATGTACTCATGAGCATATAATGAGCAAGCTCACTTCTGTGTCACACAATTTTTTTTATATTCTCATATGAGTGCACTTACTGAATGTACTCATGAGCATATAATGAGCAAGCTCACTTCTGTGTCACACAATTTTTTTTATATTCTCATATGAGTGCACTTACTGAGTTTATTCAAGAGCAAATTGTGTACGTTTTCGATTTAGCGGACATTTTTTAAAAAAACGTCAGCTACCTTAAAAAATCATTATTTGAGATTTTTTAAAAAAATATCAGCTAAATCGAAAACGTTAAAAAAATAATTTTTTAAGGAAGCTGACGTTTTTTAAAAATGTCAGCTAAATCGAAAACGTTAAAAAAATGATTTTTTAAGGAAGCTGACGTTTTTTAAAAATGTCAGCTAAATCGAAAACGTTAAAAAAATGATTTTTTAAGGAAGCTGACGTTTTTTAAAAATGTCAGCTAAATCGAAAACGTTAAAAAAATGATTTTTTAAGGAAGCTGACGTTTTTTAAAAATGTCAGCTAAATCGAAAACGTTAAAAATATGATTTTTTAAGGAAGCTGACGTTTTTAAAAATGTCAGCTAAATCGAAAACGTTAAAAAAATGATTTTTTAAGGAAGCTGACGTTTTTTAAAAATGTCAGCTAAATCGAAAACGTTAAAAAAATGATTTTTTAAGGAAGCTGACGTTTTTTAAAAATGTCAGCTAAATCGAAAACGTTAAAATTGGTGCTCAATAAGATTCAAACTTCAAAGAACTTAGTTCGCCTGTAAAAATATAATAATTTAAGTATGTGTTATGCCATATATAAGTTATTATATATTTACAGACAATAGCTCCAAGGAAAAGTGTGAGATGACAGAAGTTAAGCAACGCAGAAGATATTTCAACAAAGATGGGTGACCAGATTTATATGTTTCCGTCTAAGTATTTGAGATAAAATATTAATAATAATTTCTAACTCTTTCAAAATTATTCACAGAAATTCAAAGAAATAAACGGAACAGTACTTGATTCCAGCTAACCTATAATATTCAAATTTAGCTTAATTAATTTTTTGAATTTTGCAACTTTACTTGAGTGCACTCATGAGTGTGCTCAGATGAGCATATACTCATAAATATACTCACTGAGCATATATCTTTTGAGTATCTTCATGAGTATAAGCTCTTTGAGAATATTTATGAGTATATGCTCTCTGAGAATGTACATGAGTATATTCAATAAAAATGTTACATGAGAAAAATGTTGCATGTGACATGTTACCTTCTCATTTGAGTATGCTCATGAGTTTACTCAATGATCTTATTACATGTCACATAGGAATGTGCTCACTGAGCATGCTCAAGAAGGTACCGTAAGCGCATCACTGAAATGTATGAAAATGAGCACATTCTCACAAAGGCTAATAGGCTCACAAATAATGTGCTCTGAGCATGCTCATTGTATGTTCGGGCTCACTCGTGCAACATCAACTAGTCCCTCAATTTAGACGTATAAATTTTTCATAAGCCCCAAAGAGGCAGTATAATATACAAAAATCACAAACTCACCGTTCTATTTCCTAAATTTTTTACTTTACAAACTAAATGTACAGTTTTGCCTACTAATCCCGTCACATTTGACGATACTGTTGTGTCAAAGTAAGGACCGGTGCCGGGTGTAGGAAAGTCTTGTAGAAATTCTGTCCTAAACTTTCGAGAATTACCAGCGAAAGCACCTGTAAAGAAATAAAGAAAAGGAAACGAATAAGTAAGATTGTGGTGAATATTTTAAGAGAAAAAAAAGGTACAAATGTAATCTTATCATTGTCATAGCCATCATCGTCACTATAATAATCATTTCAGGAGATGGAGGTAGCTAAAAAAAGGTGTTCAGATGCAGGGTCATCCATTTGTGCTCATGAACATAAAAAGGGATTGAATAAACATTTTAGATCTCCCAATTCGTTCAATTTAAAAAAATTTGTTCACACAAAATTCCACATCATTGAATTACAAAAATGGGAAATGACTACTTACATACATGAAATATATTTGTAGGAGGTTTTCCTTTTTACTCTCTTGGAAAATTGCTTTCCTTTTTTATCTCTCACCTATCATCACATATGTACAACATCAAACGTAATTATATTGCCTTTGCCTAACCAGTAACCACTTTATAAGAGACGACATAGAGAGATGGAAGTGAGTAGGGAGGATAATGTTAAAATCGGGAACTGTGCGTTTGCGGAAACTCATTCCATGATAGAATTTTATGAACGCCCTGAGTTATTTACGGGAGTATTTTTGGAGGTAGGACGGCACAGGAATCAAATTTCCGGTTCAAATTGAAATTAAAAAATCTAATTAAGTTAATTAATTTTTGGTTTTTTTTATTCCTGTCCAATCACTTCCTCGTGATAAAATGCTGAACCGGAAGTTCATCTAATTTAATTTTTCAGCTCAGAATAGGAACAAACTACCACAAAAAGAATATTTCGAAACCACAGAATCTCTACTATACCTCTTCCTGCTCTATGTGTCGTGTATGATTATATGTACACATCTCTATCTCCTATGTCTATACACCAATGTATAGAATGTGTGAAGAAAAAAAAAGGTTTTTTTCAAGTGAAAAAGGAGGAAAATTATTATTAGTAGATATTACAGAATAATCTCTTGTTTAACAGCATGAGGAGCTGTGAACGATCTCTGTTTCTCATAATAATCCCATTTATATTACATATTTATTTATAGATAGGTACTTTCTGATTATTCAAGCTCTAAATTGAATTATCTGAGTTTTTTTTCAGTTAATGGCTTCATGGGTGTGAAATTCATGTTTTATTGAATTTTTTTCTGTGGACTTGAATCTGATGATTTTAAGGTTATTAGGAATCAGGGGTTTAGCTAACTCCTCATCAAAAAAATGTCTCCAGTTTTGTAGTCTATAAAAATTTCCAAATTACTCAAATTTAATTATATATAAAATTTTATATTCCAATATTAAATTAAAGCTTTAGATACAGCAGTAAAGCAGACATTTTCCCATCAAAAGCTATCGTAAAAGTTTCAAATTTATTAATGAAAATCAAGTAATTCAGCAGATGCCTCAATGTTATTAATTATTCAAAGACCGAAAGTTCATTTACCCAACAAATAAATATCCAACTCAGCAATTCTATATATTAATTTAAAATTCAGGACACAAGGCATAAAACTACATAAAAATATCACAAATTCTATGCCATAAATTTCAAAGCAAATGTCCATTCAAATTTGAAAACCAATTTCACAAACTATCCATTCGTATGTTCTTAAAAAAATTATCAGGGCATGACGAGTGCTTCAGCTTCAATAATTCTATGAAAATTTTGTTTTTGGCTCCATCAAAAAGACATAAAAAGGAAAAGAGTTTTGTATGATTTTGAGCTACTCAATGTCAAATGAAAAATAGTCTTCAAGTTTAATCAATCAATTTACGATCAAACCTTTCTCATTTTTATGTAATGAAGAATTGAAAGGCTTGTGTTCTTGATCAAAGCTTTATGGTTTGATAAATATCTCAGGAATGTGAATTTTCCAGGTCTCATGAGGGGCCGTTTACTTATGACGTCCAACATTTTGGGGAGAGGGAGTCTAGGATTTTGTGACAACTAAAATTAAGGGAAATATTTTCCACAGAACTTTTGTGACAGAGTAAGGGGGGAGGGGGAAGATGGGTCTTGAAATAATGTTTTTAATGGACATCGTCATAAGTGAAAGGCCCCTGAGTGGATTTTCAAGATGGAATTAAAACAAAAATAACCTAAGTGCAATAATAACCTAATGTTAGCTTCTTTGTCTATTCCCCCCCCCCCCCCCCCCTCTCCCTTCAACTTCCTCTTCTATTTGGGACAGTAATTTTTATTGGGTGTCAAAGACATAAATCAGATTTTGAAATGGAGAAGTTAATTTTGTAGGGTTATTCAGAAAAATAATCAAACTCCCCCCTTCTTAACCTTAAAAATGGTTTACTTTGAAAAAACTGAGCAAAGTCCCTAATTCAGATTATTTCAACTTTTCAACAATCAAAATTTACAAATGACCCTAATGATGGATCAATTTAACCTTCCAATCATAATTCTGACAAAATCTACCTAAAGAACCAAAACATCAGATTTTATCGTCAATACATGCTTAAATTTATGCAGATGCCTTAAATCTATGATGTCACTTAGTATAAATAAATAAGTTGACAAGAAAATCGTTCAATGGAATGAAAAAAAGGAATTTTACTTAGCCATCTTTTCTAGATCCTTTCATTTAACTCTCTTTTGTTTCTCTTATCAACAGGCTCTTCAAAGAGAAGTGAAAAACAGAACCCAAAACAAGAAAGGAATCGAAAGGAAATGAGAAACAATTTAAATTTTATGTACATGAATAATGCATGACATATATAGTCTTATTCATTTTCTTTTATCATCTTCATTGTGTCGTATGATGTCTGATGTCCGAAATTGAATGGATGGCATATGGACTAACCTACTGTTAAATTTAGATGTCTTTCTATTCTCTTATGCTATGTCAAGCAGATGATCAACATTAGATGTACTAAATTGTGATTGACAAGATGATTGCATGTATGACAGCGTTCTGTTGAAAAAAGAGTATGGAAGAAGTTTGTCCATTGTGATTAAGCTATAAATTGCATTAGAGATTTTTATGAAAAATTTCTATTTTTGACAATTTTTTTATGAAAATTCAATTTTCTTTTTATTGCGTATTTTCAGATTCAATGAAGAGAAATCACTTGACTTAATCTACGAACCGATCTTAGAATGAGAAATTTTCTAATTCATTTCACAGGAATTGTCTTAATCTTTTTGTAATAATTCGACATACTTGCAAAATTCAATATTTGAACAGTATTGCTGATTTACGAAATCATTTAAGCTCCATCTTGTAAGTTTGATTCCATATTAAATTTCTACGAATTAGAACAGTGTTTCTCAACCTTTTTTGGTACATGGCACATTTTTTTTAACATAAAAAAATTCACGATACACTTAATGCTTCTCATGACCTTTTTGAAGTCATAAAACATGAACTAAAATGCCGCGGCACACAGTTTGAGAAACACTGGAAGGTTAAAAGGAGATAGCCTCTAGCAATTACCATGCCTCTAAATGGAAGAGGCATCATAAATGATCCCTAATTCTTATTAATTTCTATCACGTTGCTCATTTAGAGAATTACTTCAATGATCCATGCTCTGCTCATTTATGTTAACGCTCTACACAATGCGAAGTAAATCTTAAGGATTCTTGGAAAATCATTCGAATTACGCTGTTTGCCAATTACGAGAAATACTGCATAGCTACTCATAATTTTCAATAATTTGAGTAGGAATAATAATTTAAAAGATAATTCTCAACGCTTGAATTGCTTCAATGATGTAGATTTGTTAGCCAACTGCTTACTTTTCGCAGATTTAAGCAAAATCCGTGGCTACAAAACTGAGTGTGTCTAAAATAACAATAGATTAAAACAGTGTTCTCAAACTGTGTTCCACGGGACACAACTGTGCCGTAGAAATTTTTTGAAAATGACTTGAGCCTTGGGTATGACTTATTCCTAAGATGTGCCATGGCTCAAGAAGTTTGGACAACACAAGATTAAAACAATAAATGATTGAGACTTCTTTTCTATCAGTAAATAACCTCTAATGGAAATTAAAATTTTAATCCTATTAATTAAGTTTTTTTTTATTCATCGCTACTGTAACGTAATTACTACAATCATATTAATCACAATACGTATTCTATCGTTCTGAAATTATTCGCAGTAAATTTTTTATGCAGCACATTTTCCTCATTTTCCATGCTTCTTCTATAAACTTTTCAATTTATGTGCACATATCAGGGGGAAAACCACTTGAGGGAAAATTTTAAAACACGTTGGAAAATTGATGGACAAATTTATAAAACATGATAAAAAATTGATGGAAATTTTTCCATCAAAAAATTTTTTTCCACCAAGTGGTTTCCCCCCTGGCACATATACTTTATACTTTTAATTAAATTTCACACTCTAAATCACAAGACAGAAAACAAAAGCTCTTGTGTATGGTAGAGCAGTAATGAATGTTGCCACAACAGAATGTGAGGAAGAAAAAAAAGTTAAGTATAGATGAGGAAATTCTACTTCCCAATATCTCTATCTCTGTCTTCCTCATTTCTTTGTCTATCCGTGTATTTGTGTAAAGTTTATTTTTTTCAGAGAATCTAGAATGAATAAAGTTTCATGATGATACTCAGCTGGTTCAAAAAGCTTCGATAATTCAGTTGCAGCATATAAATGAGATAACAAACAAAAAGGAGGGAACGGAAATGATGATAAAAATAGAAGACATGAAACTTTTTTGTTTGTTTAATTTTTAAATACTTTTTTTTTGGTTTTTTTGCAGTTGGAAAAATAACAGAAAGATTTCACATTTTTGTACTTTGAGGCATGAAATGCAAGTTGGAAATGCATTTGGGTTTAAAGCGCATTTTGGGATTTGAATAGCAAAAATAAAATTTTTGAAATAATTTTGAAATTTGTTGAATATGATTTAAGGTCTAGAAGTTCTTTTTAGGGGCACTTTGGGCTATATTGACGATACACCCCCTCGCTTATTTAAATCAAATATTTATCTAAATTGTATGGAATCAAGATCCTTAATTCTTGCTGCCCGGGACTAACCTCGTTTCTACTG